TATATATATCAATCAATTTGTATACAAGTAGCTCAGTCTTCTGACATTTGCTTTCAAAGTGATTAAATGAGCCATCAATGCCTCTTTCTGTGGGGGTTTCTTTAAGTTTTCAACATCTTAGACGGCACATGTCAAGACGTTAAAATGTCAAATCTAACCTTTGAGGGAAATATACAAATTACACTGGTTGCCCGATATTACAAAGGACCGGAGTGTGTCATCATGTGCCTGTGGCTTAATTTTGACTCTGATGTGTTTCATCTGTGTGAGAAAAAAAGAAAACAATGGAAGGTCTGCAACAGTTCACGGTTTCCCCACATTAGAGGCGTTGCACTTTTAGTAACTGAACCCATGACCCATAATTGATGCTAAAAGCAAAACAGGCAGATAAAATGGAAATGAAATGGTTTGAGATAACCTTTTTTCCTGTTGCAACCAAAATCGGAGAAACTGCTGCACATATGCAGATAAGAGTAACGTTATCTCCAAGAGAAACCTCGGTGTTGGTAATCACTCAACACATGAATTTGTTTTTTTTCTTTAGTGTGAAACTGTGATTATATACACAAGTGATAGCTCAAAATCGTACAAAAGACTAGATGTGAAGCTGTGTTTCTGCCATTTTATCTCAAATGCAAACAGATGAGAAAGACTTTAGGATAATGAGCTTGTAGAAATAGCGTTGTTCAAAAATGAAGTCTGAATAATAGCAGGAACCCACTTCAATAGCTTTAAAAATCTTTATTCTCATCTGACTCCAATCAGCTCCATACAGCACTACCCAGCACAGCATTCAGGGTAATGGTGCGTTCACACCAAACGCAATTTCAGCATCAGGAGCATCAGGTTTACATGCAAAGTCTATGGTGGACACGCTTCAATCAGAACCGGGAAGGGCTGCGGCGTGTCAAGCGCGATCAGAGCATAGCGATTTGAACGATTTGAACGATCTGAGCATTCGACGTGCTTGATGCGCAAATCGCTGAAGTTAGAAAATCTGAACTTTTGCAGCTCGACGCGCCGCGTCAACCAATCAGAGAGACTCCACTGTGTGACGTAGTGACAGATTTCTCGACGGGACAGTTTACTGAATGATGTCTACTAACCTGACACAGATGGAGAGGAGCTCTTTAGCTGAAATCGAGTGCCGGTAGTTGGTGTCCTGACAGGAGATGTCCGCACCAATGCGTGGCAGCGGCTCATCAGACTGGACTTGGGACAAAAATAGTTCTGAAAGCGAGCTGGGAGCCTCTCCCGCAGCTCCTGGGTGATGAAACTCACCAAACTCAGAACGTCTCTGAATTATCTGGTGAATTAATTATGAATTAATTATCTGATGAGCGTGACACGCTCTTGCTCTCTGTAAATAAAGCAAAGTCAATTCCTATATTTCATCCGACATTAAACAGAGCCTGACAGAGGACAGACCGGCAGAGGAGGGAGGGGCGGGGAGGCTCTTGACATGCGAGCGCTTCAAGAGCTGACCTGCGTCTGACCTCAAAGTGCACAAGCGTCCAACTTGAAGCGTTGGATGCACTTTTGATGCTGAAATCGCATTCGTTGTGAATGCAGCATTCCTTTTGAGATCACAGCTGCACCTCAGAGTTTGCACACAAAGACCCGCCTCAGGTTCTACCCTCTATACGAACACAATCAATCATAAACAGTCAATGTAAAGTTATTCATGAATGTTAAGATGTATTTAAATCAGTCAGCTGGTCAATGTCAAAAAAAGTGATTGGCCGGCTCAGACACGCTCCGTTGTGCGTCTGGAGGATGACAGGTGCTGACAACTGCTTGCGTGAACAGAATGTCTGTAATTGACACAGATTTTCTCTCATTTTGCTTTAGAGTAATCTAACGATTTTCATAAAAAAAGAACCCAGCTTCAAATTAATTTTCTCTCAGAGCTTGCAGTACGATAAAAAACACTAAAAATAAAATTAAATAAGTCAGATAAAATTAGATATAAGGTCACTGATCTTCTCCCTGTCCTCTCCCCCTCCTGCCTGCTTGCTCTGTTATCTGCGGCAGACACCCCCCACCATCCCGCACGTGACAAACACGGGCTTTAAACGTCAAGGTTTATTATTCACACTGGCGAGGTGAGCGCGCCCTGCGCGTGTATCCAAAGCTTTTGCTGTCCTGCTGTTCTTATCGGGGAGGGGTCTGTTTG